TCGTAAAATTAGGGCATAAATATATAATATATTATGAGCTAATGTGGAAGATGAATGTGGAGTTGACCGAATTTTATTACGTTTTTTAACTAGTATACGTTTTTAATAATGACATGATATGTTTCAACCGATTTTTGACTATGCGATCTTCCTCTGAGAATAATGAAACTGTCTTGTTTCCGTTCGTACGCTTTTAAAGCTGTGAATGATGGGAACGTTTAAAATGTTTAGTACTTAAATTACACCGTCGGCAATAAAGTTGGCCGAAAAGCCAATGATAACGAAATAGCGATTCGTCAGGGACGTTAATGCAGGAGAGCCCGATAAGGAAATAGCTCCCGCGACCTGACAAATAAGCTGTCTTAGCCCCAGTTCAATAATTGTTCAATAATTCTGAAGATATTTCTCTACAAAAACACATAACTTTCAATCCCCTCTGCCAACACAAAGAGTATTTAATGGCAACAAAATTATAGAAAAGTTTCAAACCTATTCCTTCAAATGTAGTTTTTATTGAAGTAATTCTATCTCCCATATAGAACCACGATTGTTAAAAGAAAAAAAAAGTTAGTACATATAATTTTGTAATAAATGTTGCGTCCATCCAACAAACATAGAATCCTAAACCATAACTTGCACTCCCAAGGTGCGAGGTCTGGGCTGAAAAATTGAGAAGTTTATGTTCGAATTCTTTAATTTTTTGAGTCTGACGTAAACACACATGACCTTTTTGGCAATCCTATCTCGCCTTGGCACATGAAGGGCTGTTTGCCCAAACAAAACCAAATGCTTTATTTTTAAATTGATCCATTTTTCAACAGTGACGTTTCACGAGACCTCCAGAAGTTATTATTCAACTCTAAGAGGGATGTTTCCGCAGGGATGTTTTTGAAAAATATTACAAATCCTAGTAAGTTTTGAGAAGTGTGTGTGTGTGGGGTGTTGGGGAATGATCGACAATTTTCCTGATGGTTGTCGGAATCAGCGCCTCAGTGAAAATCCTTAAACACCGCCATCAATACATAGTCTGCAGATGATACTTTAATTTTTCGGTTAACATTTATTTTAACTTTCTCTTAAAATCACACTAAAAACGAATAAGTGTTACCCTTTTGTTATACTTGTATTTTATTTTTGTTTTTTCAATGGCATTATGTTCATCACTTTAGCCTAGCTTTAGAAATTTGTGGTAAATTGGATGGGACAAAAATTCCAGGGGCGACGGTGGGGTTCGAACCCAGGACCTACGGTTCTACAAACCGTTTACCTATGAGAGCTTACCTACATTCGTTAAATATAAAGAACGTGACTAAAAGACAAATTATCATTGGGTTTCTCGCTGAAACAAGCTTACTTGAGAAAATTACAACTCTCATTCTGCTCTCAAACTTCATCGTTAAGTTATTTTGTATTATTATATTTTTTTTTTTTTATATTGTTGTGTAATTGTTTAATAAGAATAAGCCAAGGGTTGAAATTGGAGGGTACAATGTCCAATACCCCTACATTTTAATGTTTATTCGATGTCCATAGTAAATTAGGATTATAAATACTATTTTTAATTCTATATAATATTAAATATAGAATTAGAATCATATATTTTATATGTAATTAGAATTAGAATTATATTGTCGGAATAGTTGATTTTCATGTTGGATGTAGTCGTGGGTTTGTTGAGGACGGAGTTGAGGGGTAAAGAGGACGAGGGTAGGGTTCGAACGGCAGAGGGCGAGGGTGGTCGGTGTTGCTATGAAAACAATCTGGGGATCACTGGCGGGGGAGATTTTTCTTTATCTTACCTTTTGAGCTACACATGCTGTTTATCTCTCGCCTGCGAATCCCGTGATGGGGAAAACTATTGGAAATGGGATTTTTCTATTTTACAATCAAGGTAAGATTTATCAACTTGTGTCTCGGAGGGTGGTACCCCATCAACCCTCTCTTCTCTTTTTTATTCCCACGCTTATAAGGGAGATAAAAAACAAATCTGACCCAGTATGTCTTTCGAAATCACACACGAAGGGATCACGATCGGTCTTTAAATCCCTTTTTCGAATGGGTTCAAAATTAAAGCACACTTGGACGAATTTGCTAGTTTAAAAACCTGATAACAATCTTCCATACCAAATCAACAAATCCTTTCTTTTAATTAACCCTACGGATTTTGATAAATACGTCTAAAACGGATAGAGTTCTGCTAATGTAATATCAAAAGTATCAATTGTTGAATTGAAATTCTTTTGAACCTAACAATAGACAACCGTCAAAAAATGCAGAAAGAGCAACAGAACGACATTTTCAATATGTAAAAACATACATTTAAATAGTTCATATTAATGTTTATAACAAACAAAGCGAAGAACAAAACGCAAAAATGCATGCTAATCGAACTTTATTGTAAAAACGAATCGACTTTTGGACTTTGAAGCTAACATGAAACAACTTTTCATCAACTGAAGTTAAACGAAATCTATGGTGAAAACCTTTGGTTCAACAGTTGATCAACTAAAATTTCAACCAATCAAATCATGACACTCCTTTAAAGTTGAAGCATAACTTGAAACTTTAAACTTTTTCATTGTCCGTGTTGTTTTGTTTTAATTTTTGTTTATAAAATAATTTTAAAAAAAGAAATGAGACAAGTGGATTTGAAGTGTGACTCTAAAAGTATTATGATTTTATCGTAAGCATTGGGATTGGGAGATTTACTATTCCAAAATTAAGACGTCTGTCTTTCTCCTTGGATTACCGGACAATGCTATGTACCATCTTTGGCACAAAAGTTGTCGACATTTATGATTTATGAACCCCGCGAACTAATGCTGACGCGACACGATGAGGATGAATAAATATGCGAGGGGAAATGCGTTGAATTCTATCATACAGGCAATGGAAAAATTTCCAGACTAATTCTGATTAAGAAAACAAAATTAATACAGTTAGAAGAATGTACAAGAAAGAAGAAAACAATCAAAAGTTGATCAATTTTTATTGTAACGTGTGAACAAAACATTATTTAAGTAGTCTCGACTCTGAAAAGTTTATGAGCTCGGTTGAACAGACAGATTGCGTTAAACTTTAGTTGAACAACAAAAGTTGAATCGTGAAAACACGCCTAGATAAATATCAAATATATCGATTGTTGAACAGAAAATTATTAATTATTAATTAATAACCATAATTAAAATAATCACAACAAAGAATCTCTTGGAGGACAAAACATCAAAAAGTGGTGATAATCGACCTTTTTAAAGTTTCCGGAAGACTTTTTTTATCGTCTTTTCCACTGTGAAGCTTAACTTAAAACAATATGCCTTGCTAACAGAATCAAACTTGGATACCTCACAATGAAAATAAAGAGACAATACTAAGAAGACAGTAAGTGGGAACACAATGAAACAAAAATTACATTTACGAAACAAGAGGGATGAAAACATTTCAAGACAAATTTCAATTGGTTTCAAAGGGCAAAATTTTCACATACATTTCCCAACAATTGACCGAAATACTCAACTTACATTAACTTAATTTGTTTTGTTTTTTATTGTAAAAGATATATTCTTTTATGACGATTATTAGGATTGTTGTTGATATTAGGTTCGTTTAAAAAATTGTTATTTTTATTCAATAATCCAATTTGAAAAATACAACTTTTCCACACACAACATATTTCAATTTTTATTGTGCTATAAGTCGGTTCACGGTTGCCAGTATTTAATCGTTGTTTATTGTATTGGATTTACGCTGGTTTTAACAGCAGCCTTAATACCAAGCTTATACGCCCGAATGCAATGTTTTTCCTTGAAGTTTTTAATCGATAAACAATTTAAAATCGAGGAATACCACGTTCGCCATTTCATTCCTCCGGCAGGATTTATAAAGAGTTTAATTTTAATAATGAATGACGAGATTCCAATTACTACATTTATAAGAGTTGGCTATTCAACGGGTTGCTAATCATAAACGTATTTCATTTTATAGAAATTTCCCCTATCTTATTAAGGACTTAAGGATAAAATTTTTAGAGTAGTCTTTCTCCTGCGGTTTAGGAAAGTGGTTCAATTTGTTGAAGTTTCGGCATTCTCGTCTCTAGAACATGGTGTATTTCTTAATTGCTACAATAGAAAACAATTTAATTGTTTTGTAGAATAAAGGTACAAACCATCTACTTAAAATTTGAATATTGTTTTTAAACAATTTCATATATAACACTCTAGTAACAAAAACAAACAGTCCATAAAAAAGAAGGATAACAAAAACCAAGAAAAGAAGATGGAACGCAAAAACATTATTTTTGTTTTAAGCTGACCACAGATTACAAGAACAACTTTGGGAAAAAAACACAAGATAAATAAATCTATAAGAAAAGAATTCATGTATATATTATTTTTAAAAAATTGACGATTTGTTTGATTGATCTCTAACTGATTTCCTATGTTTAAAAAAAGTCAATTGTTTACTTTTTATCAATGTAAATAAGAAATCTAATATAAATAAATCACCCCGCTGAAGGTCATGGACCGATGACCTAAGAATTTATAATGTTTCTCATTCGTATTGTACATTGTATGAAAACTCAGTAAAGACATTTATCAATTCATTTTCACCGTACACATACACAATTCGTATTAAGGAGAAACGGATAATGCAAACGTCTTCATACCATAAAATTGTTTTAATTTTACACCCTGTACGAAAAATACTATTTTAGAAAAAAGTACCTTATTTAAATTTGTTGTGTATTTTTTCCTTTTTTCCTGGATCAAAATCAACTTCGCTATCCCTAAGTTAGCAGAGCTTTTAGTTTTATTTATTTACATATTTATTTTGCTGTTTTAAAACCCTTTTAAATGGTCAATAGGATTTTTTTTAAGATACGGCTGAGGATTCAAGTATTTATTTTACTACAGACGAGAAAATCGTTGAAATATTTTGTAATATTATTATATGTTATACTCTGTGTGCTAAAATTATTATTATTATTATCTTGTATTCAGTACCTTTTGAGCCTTGCACATGGTGTTGATGGCTTGAACGTCGTGGCTGGCGTGTCTCGTGTCTCGGCAGTGGGCGCAGACTGCTACTTTACAGAGCATGCAGTAGTAGGAAAGCGGTTCTTCCTGGTGATCCTGGCAGAAAACCTCCTTAGCCGCTTCCCTGATCCTAAGGGCGGATCGACCGGGAGAGGTCAAAGTGTGTTTGGCCAGGGCACCACGTGCAGGATGGCAGTTTTCCCTGCACTCATCGCAATAGTGAACTTCGCACTGTTCGCACAAGACCGTCGCGGGCTTGGCCGGCTCTTTGGTGCACAGTTCACATTTCGGAACGAGTTCTTTGGCCTCACTGTATTTATCGACGATGTTCTGCATAGCCCGGTACTTAGGCAGGTTCTGTGCACCGTTCTCGTCGAAGTAGACCGTCTTTGAGCATACGGGACATGCCAAAGCGAGGGCACTGCTCGTCAACGGAGGAAAGAGGATGCCTTGGATGTTGGGTGTCCCGACGTAACTGTTCGGCCTGCTCGTACAGACAACGCCGCTGTCCGTCTCGCTCAGAATCGACAGCTTATCCACTTCTTCCGCAATCTGTTCTTGACCGTTGGCCGCCGGCACTTGCAAAAGAAGGGCACAGTTGAGACACAAAGCGTGATAGCACGGCATCAGAACCGGGTTCGAAAACAACTCCTTGCACACCGGGCATCTCAGTTCGTCCTCCATCGCTTAACTCATGGATAAAGAAATAAACCGAGGTTTTTCCTACCGCACTAACACTAAACAAACACTCGACGAGAAAGCACACTCCCCTATCAACGAGTCGGCTTCCCGACAACAACTGAAGCTGAACTCAGTGCGAGCTCAAAGTTCAGCCGACGAGTGACGGTGGAGGGAGAATATCACCAAAGCGCCCGACTACCAACCTAACCAAGCGTCCTGCACGACAAAACAACACCCCTTCCAAGTAATGTCCCATAAACAAAAAAAACTTTTAAATATATATTTATCAAAATAAAATTAATGCCAGGTACGGGAAGTTTTTAATATTAGCGGTTAAAAACGTGATAGAGCCTTATAACGTGGATTGCAGAAACCCGCACTATCTACCGATACCTTCCTAAAACAATCCCTTATCCTCTAACTTATTTTTATTTTCATTCTTATTCTATTTATCTATACAAAAATATTGAACAATTTATTTTGTTCTAACAAGTTCATTTGTTAGTTTTACAAAATTTATGTTCAAAATTAATATTAAAATGAATTGCTTTACACTTCATAGTTTAAGAAACTGTCGGAAGGGAGTGAAGTGCATGCTTAGATGAACTATCCATTTAGAAACAAGATCCTCCAGTATAAAAACTAACAATTAAACATATTTTGACCAAGTTCGTTGTTACTATTAACCTTTGTACTTGCTATTTCAATATAATAAGTACCCATATAAAAAAATCTGTAGTTCCCATTATATACGTACAAATTATGATATATATTTTTAATGTGTGGTGTTTAGTGATCATTAATAAATGATTATTTAGTTAGTTAAATGAATTTATACAGTGATGCACACAATATTGAAATTTTAGGTTTAATCTAAGTATTTGTGCTCACTCAAAGTGTGTGTTTTCTGTGTAGATGTGTCATTGGGTTTTGAAGAAGTGGGGAAGGGAATAGTTTCTTATTTTCTTCAAAACCCAACTTATATAAACAAAAAACAGTAATATCTCACTAACACTCTCAACACGACTCTACTTAGAAAACACCCACTTTGAGTGAGCACAAATACTTTGATTAAACCTAAAATTTCTATATTGTATTCATCATTGTACAAATTCATTTTCATATCTTACATGTAATTGTATAATTTAAATAATGTTTATAAATCCCAGGCCCTGAAGATGATCTCAATAAAGATCGAAACATTGGCACGATAAAAGAAATTGCTTTTCTAAACCCACATCACACCAGACCGCATCTCACAATCTCTAAATAATATATTTATAATTTGCTACTCCTCTTCCTTTTTTGGTCAATTGTCTTGTCTTTGATGATAGAATTATTTAATTAGTAATCTGTTAATTATTTATTATTATTTCCAATTTTTGGGCAAAGACTAATGAGAAGAAAAATTAGCATCACGAACTTAAACAAGATTAGAAATTTATGAGTGGTAATAAAAATTATTTAATCATGATGGTTGAAAGAAAATTCACAAAAACATAGGAAAATCATTTAGTGATAGATTAAAATTTAACTAACAATTTATTCTATCACTAAACAATTTTCTAGTTTCTTTCAAATCATCATAATCATAAATCAAACCTAAATCATAAACATTTTTTTAGTAAAACTTATAAATATCTATTAAGTTTAATTTGGTTTATATTAAAATAAGTATGTTGTAATTATTATAACAATAAAAATATTTTGTATATAGTTTGAAATAACCGACAAAATATGAATGTTATTTTTTTTCTCCCAATTCTACAAACATATACTTGCATACCTATGTGTACAAATTGAGCCTATGACTTCTCACTACTGCAGGTCAATCCCACTTTTGTATATTTGACAATAAATTACCAGCAGGTCTTGAAAATCACCCACCTTGGGTTTTGGGAGTCTGAGGTTAGACCTCACTCTTATCCATTCTCCAATCAAGGTTGGGCTCCAGGGTTGTTAACACTTAGGTCATTTGAGCACCCAACACATCAGTATTTAAATCCAAACCCACCAAACTCTTTCCATTTATGGTACAAATAATACACTCAGGTAGAATGGAGAGTATTTGATATTCCTCCATCACCATCCATCCACACATATACTAACTACCTATATAACCCGGCGTTGCCCAGAGGGAAAATAGAAACACATTATTTTGAGTGTACATATTGCTATTGCTAGATAAGAAGCATATGTTTATATAAATTAAATGAACACAATTGAATGTTTAATATGAATGGTTTGTATTTAGTCATGATATTATATATTTATATATGCAATATTATTTTTGTTTTGGATTGCATTGTATTAAATTGTAACGACTGTTGTATGCAGGGTTAAATTCAATGAAATGCTCTTTGATTGGATAAACAATGTTTTTAGTGATTCCATTTGCGATGAATACAAACAACAAATCCATTGATTTCCTGGAGCATGCAACATATAATTCTCCTTGTGATTTGTTTATCATTACTGCAAAAGCAAGCTTTATTGGCAATCGCAATCATTTGAATTGGAAAAATAGTACTTTGGTCATCATTGGTATATATTGTATTACCGCATCCCCTCCTTTTAACTTTAGTAACTATATTAATATTATTTCAATTAATTATACTTTTTCTCTAAGGTCTTGGTTGAGATGAAAAAGTTAGTGTCATGAGCAGAATTCAAACCCACGACCTTCGGCTCAATATGCCGCTGCTTTAACCACATGAGCTATTGTGATTTCGATCGACTTACACACAACTGGCCGAGTTCAGTAAAACAATGTTTATTAATGAAGGTAGGATGAATCGATCGTCTAGACATGACCAATTTTTTCAGAATCAGGGATGCAATCACAAAGCAGTGCGTATTGTAACTTCGACACCAAGCTTTTGACCTTTATTAGTCTTCTTTAGGGGTATATTACATTGTCATAAATAAATATGATTACAAAACATTAACAAAACTTTAAAAACAATAGTTAAAATTGTTTTTAAAAATATCATTATATATTAATGTATAATACCATTATATAAATTATTGTGATTTGACAATGTAATGTAGCCCTGAAGAAGACAGTAATAAAGGTAGAAGTTACAATACTCACTTCTTTGTAACTTTATCCCTGATCCTCAACAAATTGGAATGTGTATTAATATTTTATGCACATAATTTATGACTGTTCATGTATACATACCTTTAAAACAAAATCTTTTTTTTAATCTTCATCTTTGTACACTAAATAACTGTTCAATTCAAACACTTTTCACAGTTCTGATGGTTTGGCGGTTAGGTCACAGGTCTCCTACCTCCACCACTGCTTCCTATAGTAACATACGGTGAAGTTTATATCACCCATCAGCTTCTGTACATTTAGCTTACAGCTGAGAAGATGGACGCCACAAATTCCTAAAATATCTCTTATTAAAACTGATGCCCCTTATTTGTTATCTGCCCATTAATTTTTTTTTTCCAAGTCTCTAATTTCAATCTCAAAGCCATACTACGATGGCACTGAGTTAATGCAGACACAAAATTAGTCTTGATGGTCCTAAGTAAGTTTATTATTTAATGTGAAACCAAAATAAGTATGGCATTCCCATTCACTAAATTTAATAAATATGTTATCTAGCAATCAACCATCTAGTTTTGTACAATGTTTCTTTGGTATACAAAAACATGATAGAGATCCTATGAGTACTGAGAGTTAGACCTTGTTTTCATTTCACTATAGACAAGTTTAATTTATTTTAATAAATCATTAGGATCCACAGAACAACAAATCATCAGTATCATCAGCAAATAGTGATGTACGGTTAGATAGGTGAGGTACATTGTCAAAAGATAGAAATAGTATATGGCCTAAGATGGAACCCTATGGCACTCCATGATCAAAAAGTAGGCTAGGCGATGTATTTCTTATTTCGTCCATTAAAAGTGGCAGTAAGTTTAATTTAACTGATTTTGTTGAATTGAAAAGATATGACCAATCAAGGGCTGTACCTCTAATACCAAGTTATCCATTTTTTAAATTAATTAGTTAATTTTTCTATAGTGATCAAAAGGTTTCTATTTATCATACAATACTCCAGTAACTACTTTATGATATTTGTTTTATTTGAAAATAAAATTAAGCAATGCAAAGACCAGAGTTGATTTATTATTCCTAAAAAAATTATTTGGATAGTCAATTAAATTTGACAGGAAAATTATATAATCATTTAAAATAAACAACTTCAGATATTCATGAAATTAAACATAACTGTGTAGAGATAAATCCAGAATCTAGGATCATGTTTCATACTAGAGATTATGAGAGAGTGAAAGAGAAAGACAGAGTGCAAAGTGAGAAAGAGACAAATAGAAAAGTAGACGTTTTATTAACATATTTTACAATAATTTAACTTTAATAATAGTTGAACAAGTGAACGTTTCAATGCTTTAAAACATAAACATTCGACGTGAATGCATGAAAATAATTTTCATCATGCACTACAGACGGTACCTATTTGCACTACAGGCGATAAAAAATATTAAAAATTAAGTGTAAGTCCTTTTTCATCCTTGGTTACCAAACGACCTAGAATACAAAACATCTTCAATGCGACCTAATTTACCTAAAATTTATGAAATAATTATTCCCTCCTCCGTTTATTCTGGACTAACTTGCATAAATAAACTTTAAAATACTAAAAAAAGTCTTTATTTAAGTTCATATTTGAAAATACTGCGAAAATGACTTATAACCACTTTAGAGGTTTCAATGTAATGATAATAGAGATAAGAAAAACTTAAGGTAAAAACAATGTAAAATAAATTGTTTCTTGTTTAACAAAGTTTCATGTGAACTGGCTAATTTCACAACTATCAATAAAAAAACAAGAACTGTAATCTTAAAAATATGATTTTCAACGACGCAATTTCCTAAATAAAATTGTTTTCTATTCAACGCAATAAACTTCTTATCAGTTATCAATTATCACTAACAACCTTGGCTGTTAATTTAATTAAACTACACCTGAACATTGACATTACATAGACACACACTCAAACACCAAATCGAGCAAATGGATATGTAAAGGGCGACCGTTTTCAACAAACAAGTACATTTTTTTTAAGTTATGCTAGGAAGAACCGCCACTCAACGATTCTTTGGAATCGTCAAGAGTCGAACCTCTGATCGAAGTGCCT